TTCTCTAACTGCTGATTTATGAATTTAATGTTTAATGTGCCAATTTTTTCACTGCTATATGCTATATATATATAAAAAAACACTCAAGTAAAACTTTTTTCAAAAAATAAAATAAAAATAAAATGGCAATATTTAAAAAAAAAAAAAAAAAAAAAAAGATAAAAGCACATAATGAAATGACAAAAAATAAAACTAAACCAAGATAAATAAAATCTGAATTGCAATATTAAAAGTAAAAAAGCACATAACGAAATGACAAATTAAATGACTTAAATTTAAATTAACATGAAAAATAAAAAAATAAATATAAAATAAAATATCAAAATATGAATAAAACTAAAATAGCACTGCATTTTTTGGATCTTCTGTCTGTAAATGATTGACTCAAGATCACACACACACACAGAATGAATCCTATTGTTTATTTGACTATTGATATACATGGTGTTCTAATTGGCAACAACGCTGATCCCTCTTTCCTCGTCTTTCCATCAACACGTCCTCGTGACGAGAACTACAGTTTCCCATTCACTCCGTATGTCGCTTCCAAACAAACAGGGGAGATTCCACGAATTGGAGAAAAGTCCCATACTGCTGCATGCAAGTCCTAATAGTGTACAAAATAAATCATCAATAAATAAACAGGCACAAAATGATTGGAGGGGTCGAATGTTCAGATGTCGTCTCGTCCTCAGACTCTGAGGATAAATGTGTTGGGAAAGCAGGTCTCCAAAAACTGACCCAGGACCTGTTTGGTCCTCTATACTGGCTTTAACCTCTGGAAACCTGATCCCAGATCAGCTGTCGTCAAACACACTCCTCGCGCAAAGTTGATCATTTGAAATTTTTTTCTTACAAAAAAACAAAACAAAAAAAATCTAAATAAAAAACAGCAAGTAAATACAGCAAAGTCTACCATTATAAAATACACTTGCTTCAAGATAACTGATATTTTTACATTACATACATGTATATATTTATATATATATAAAGCATAGATAAAATATGCCTTTTAATTACCATATCTGACATATGCTCTTGTATTGCACAAATTTGTATTGTTTCGAAACAAACAGTAGATAGAAAAATTTCCCTGTGCTTAATTTGTGGGTGATAAAATACATACTGCATGAATCATATTAATTCAGAAGTTCAGCATCAATGCATGAAAATAAACATAAAGACGATGGATGACGAGAGGCGTGAGGTACATTCATTCGTTAATTCGGCAGCCAATTAGATCTATGCATGTGATTCGCTGACAGGGTTTACAGTTCAGACCGAATGAAACGCTCATAAAGTTCAACATTTTGTGTTTGTTAATTAAATATTTCATTTAATGTGATGCTTTCGGCTAGCAATAATAGTTCAGCGCTCTCCGCTTCATTGAACATGTTTCCATCCCACAGATTTCCCTTTAAATCATCTCTGATCTATAGTTTTAATGAAGACCGTCTTTCTGCATGCGTGAAGCTCCTGAAATCATGGCAGATTATCGAGGTTTTTCTAAACGCGTATGATCTGGGACTCGTTATAAGGTATTATAAGGTTAAAATGTTCTTGTCTTCTGAGAATGCAGCAAAAATTAGTCATTATCGTAAAGATTGTTCTGAAAACATGTGAGCGGCCTATAGGGTTAGGGTTAGGGTTAGACAGCATCTTAAGACATCATATTATATATATATACACACACACACACTGTTTCAACTTAGTTTTTGTGCTGCCTTAAAATTTCAAGTTTAGTGACTTTTTAGTTTACGTTTAATTTAGTCAACTTGAAAAGTAAAGTTGTACTAAGTGACAACTTGGATATTTGAGTTGACTAAACTTAAAATTTTAAGGAAGCACAAAAAACTACTTTTTTAAAGTTAAAACTTAGTTTTTAACTTTTTAAAGTTGAAACAAAACATTTTCACAATGATATATATATATATTATAAGATGTATGTAGCCTATTTGAATTGCAAATTTCCATCCATTTGAATTACAGTTTTAACATTAACAAACTAATAAACATCATGTGATTCATATTTGTCAGTCAAACATTAAATGACATGGCTCATCTTCATGTGTATAACTGAAATAAATCAATAAATTGTTTTTATTTAAATCATATTTTCAAACTGCATTTATTCAAATTGTTTAAAATCAGCATGAATCTGTTCAGTGTGAAAACAATAAATACATAAATCCTACATTTAAAAAGACAAACCTACACTGAAAAAAAATAAAAAAAATAATTGATTTTAGTAAACTAAATTAAACTTAATTTACTGTCTGTCCAATGTTTTTAATTGGCGAAGTCTCAGATTTAAAAAGTTCGAGTTTTTATTTTACACAGTAGAATGCAATATATATATATATAATGCTCTATTCATTCAACGAATAAAGTCTCACTAAAAGTAGTCCAGTTGAATGTGAAGGTGCTGATTATGACCGTGTGTTTATCTCGGCTGAGTTGCACCAGGATCGTGTGTATGCAGACGGCAGACTCGGGTTCGTAACAGAGCATTGTTCTGAGCATTGCTCTCGTTACAGTAATGAGGAAAGACTCTTTGGCTTTGTTTGACGAGGAGAGAGAATGTGTTCAACAGAAGGAGGTCTGAACGTCAGAGCAAATCTGCTGCGCTTCCTCGACACACGAGCCGTCCGAAAGCATCACGTCAAACGGGTGAACCACGAGAAACAGCAACTCAACCCCAGCGTCTCACACACACGTATGGCTCCTCTCCTGTGCAAATAGAGTTTGACCAAAGGCAGTTCATCACACACTCCAGATGTTGCTCGTTAGCTCGTTCGTCATTAGTTTAATATGCATATCATTTGTGTTTCCATTTGTTTCGCTTATAGTCAATATGAATCTGGCCGATTTAATTCTGCAATGTGACATTTCTGAGTGAAACTGAATATGCAATTGATTGATTATTCTACTCAAGGAAAGTTTTTACATCTGGATGAAACACTGATGAATCAGTGACTGATATATTTTGATTAGATGTTGAGCATGTGATGCACACGCACCAGATGTGGGCCGGATCTGTGTTGCTGTCTGGGCTGTAACATCAATGAAATTTGATTTTATGGACAGAAATGTCTGCATGTTAAATCCAAATTAGCTGCTTTTTAAGGTATTTCAGTCAGTCTAGACGCCATATTTCATTTAATGCATATAAAATGAAGATATTCAATGGATCAGTTTCTGAGTAAATCATTTCGGCGACCCCAGATGCAAAATCTATCAGAAAGAAAATACCCGAAAATAATTCTAAACTGCATGTAATTCAAGTGAACATAGAAACGTGTTTAATAAATGAGCCTCAATGTATTATACCGCGTTGTTCAGCCGATTTCCGATTTCATTATTTGCCCTCACAGCCTTGCTTTGCCCAATTAAATATGGCATCCAGCCTGAATACGGGCCATATTAACATGTTCAAATCTAATGCAAACAAACCCAAACTGAGAAATGCACAAGTGTGATGAAAAATTGCATTAACAATTAATTACCAGAGCTTGAGTTTATTTTAGCCACTGAGCCTTTGTGTGTTTTTTAGGGCTGTAAATGTAGTTTGCGCTTTAAATTAAAGCCTCGTCGAGTGCCATTTCATCTGTGCAAATGTACACAGTGACATCTGATACTTATATACAGTTCATCGGGTCAGACGACACACAACAGCGCTTTAAACTGAAACACGAGCTTCGCTTTTACATGTGAAGGTAATCAATCAATCTCAGGTGTAAAATGAGTTTAAATCAGTTTGAGGCACTACTGTTCAAAAGTCACCATTTATTTGATCAAAAATGTGAAATATTATTATCATTTAAATCAGCTGTTTTCTATGTGAATATATAGTAAAGTGTAATTTATTCCTGTGATCAAAGCTGAATATTCACATGTCACATGATCCTTCAGAAATCACTCTAATACGATGATCTGATGCTCGAGAAACATTTATGATTATCAATGTTGAAAACACTTCATATGCGTTGTCGATACATTTTTGTTTCAAGATCCTTTGATGAATAGGATCTTCAAAACCTTCGTCACTTTTGAGGATTTGAATGCATCCTTGCGGAATAAAAGTACTAATTTAAGGATTAATATAAACCAACTTTTGAACAGTAGTGATATCTGGAAAGGTTTGCTTGCATCACAGTTGATTCAGATGAATTGATTTGTATGATACATTTCCCAAGTTAGTTCATATTTACCGCCGGTGTTTTTGAAAGAATCTCTCATTAAACGAGTGCTTGATTTCCGTTGGAACGGTGTGAGTTTGATGCTATTCTCGGCGATGATTTCCAAAAAGCAAAGGAAATGCATGAGCAAAGATGAATGATAAACACAGGATTTAGTTCTAGCAGGCACACTTGGGATCTATTGCTACATAAAACAGCCCTTCACCAAACCTGCCAACCCGCGTTCAAGCGGACTGATCTCCTAACGTCAGTTCGAGATAGAAAAACACATGTGCTATAATCGTCACTAGTAATATAAGCCAGTTACAGCTGGAGGCCCTTACAGTAGAAACTTTGACACCTTTTTAATTCCAATAAATATCATTATCATCCTACCTAAATGTAGCAAATTATTGCTGAACGTGTGCAAAACGATTATTTTCAGCCTTGAAAAGAAAGTGTTCTTTTAACCCCTCCATACCATGCAGTTTTTCTCATGCAAAATAAATACTTCACAATAGAAACAAACGTGTGGTTTTGAAAAGAAGCGTGTGCAATCGTTTGCTAAAAGACGAGTGACCGTTTCAGGTGCGTGTCTGATTGTCTTTGTCTAGTCGTCTCGATAATGACGACGGTCAACGCAAAAACATGGTGAGCGAGCAGAGAGTGCAAACAACCGTGTCGATTATTACCGCTGCCTTTTCATCGCTAGCGACACACAAAGAGGTAATCGTCATGCTTTCCAAGATGGACGTGTGAACGTATGACAGACGGGTAACGTTTAAATGGATGCACCACCACTAAGAGTCTTCTACGAATAATCTCAAATCTTGGGAATCACGCCATTTTAAGTAAGACCTCTTTGATTAAAATGTGTTATATATGATCATTAATTGCAACTACGGATCTCATTCATGCATTCAAACTGTGAAGGTGTGCATGGTCAAAGAGCAACTTTCCCCTTCGTATCTTCAACCACAAGAGAAATCAAAACAGTCTACAAAAACCTTCGACGTCGAGCTATGGTACATTCGGTAAACAAAGGAAAAGGCGTCACAGAAACGTCTCACGATCTCGGTCTGTGTTTGGAAAGGGTTCGCTGAGGTCCGTGTTCGTGGCCTCCGGGATCAGAGCGTGAAAAAGCTCGCTAGTCACTCGCGTCACGCTATCGTACGACGGCGGAGACGACGTAGCCGACAGCGTCTCCGTGACTTCGGCCTCGGTGCCGTAGTTCTCCATTATCATGGCGACTATAAGGCCTTCGTTCTCCGGCAAACTGTCGTCGTCTTTATCGGCGTCCGTCATGTTGATCTGACGGTAAAGTAACGAAGCTTGTTTCATCTGCCGTCGCAGTAAGTGCCGGCGATACGAGCGCTGGATCATGGTGGCGGATACGTCTTCTTGTTTCCGCCGCAGAGTCGTGGTGATCGGCTCGTACGAGATCTTCGATGGGTTCGCCATCATAAACTTCTCCTCCATTTGCTGCTTAAGAGCGTCCATTTCTCCCGACTCGCCCAGAACGCGTTTGGTGAAGGCGAAGAGGATGTCCAAGCAGTGGATCTTGTCTCCGCTCACCATCGGCAAGTCCATGTTGATTAGCTTGATTTTGTTGGGTTTGGCGATTCGAAGCGGCTCGGAAAGCGTGTCCGCGAAGTCCGAGAGTTTCGAGTACTCGATGAACTGCGTCGCTTCCGGGTCGAACTTCTCCCAAACCTCGTAAAACATCTCGAAATCGTCCTCGCTCAGCGGCTCGGTGCTTTCCTCCGTCGCCACGCTGAAGTTCTCCAGGATGATCGCGATGTACATGTTCACCACGATCAGAAACGAGATTATAATGTAGGTCACGAAGAAAGTGATTCCCACGGAAGGGTTCCCGCAGTTTCCCCGAGCGTTAGTCCCGGTGTGAGGCACGTCCGGGTCGCACTCCTCGGGAGAGTTGTTCAGGATGGGATTGAGGAGGTTGTCCCAGCCGGCAGAGGTCGTGATCTGGAAAAGGCAGATCATGCTGTTCCCGAACGTCTCGAAGTTGAACATGTCGTCGATGCCGCCTTGCTTCTTGACGTAGGCGAAGTTAGCCATGCCGAAGATGGCGTAGATGAACATGACGAGGAAGAGGAGGAGGCCGATGTTGAAGAGCGCCGGGAGAGACATCATCAAGGCGAAGAGTAGCGTGCGGATTCCCTTCGCCCCGCGGATGAGCCGGAGGATCCGACCGATCCGAGCCAAACGGATCACGCGGAACAGCGTGGGCGAGACAAAGTACTTCTCGATGATGTCCGCCAGAACGATTCCTGCCGTGAGGAAGAGACACGGATTAGAGCTCATTTGCTGACTACATCAACTAACAGTGATTTAAAACTATTAACCATTTCCACCAAAGCTGAAATAAAATCAAATGCACATATTAGTTAGGAAAATTAGAAACGGCCTTGGAAATAATCTGAAATGAGTGAAATAAGCTCTAAAATAATTAACTGGAAATAGAAACTAAAACTGAAAATGAATTAAAAATAAGTTAAACCTATAAAATAAGTTTTTTTTTCTTTCATTTTTTTATATTGCTTTTTATAGCAATATAAAAATAAAAAAAATGAAAGAAAAAAAATGAAAAAGCACATAAGATTTAAAATTACACTAAAATGAACATGAAAACTAATTAATACACATATATATATAAAACACTTATAAATATATATAGTATATATAGTCGTCGTGTTTCGAGAAAAAAACTCGTTAAATTTCGAGAAAAAAGTCGAAACAATCGTGAGAATAAACTCATAAAATTTCGAGAATAAAGTCGTTGTGTTTCGAGAAAAAAAAATCGTAAAATTTCGAGAAAAAAGTCGAAATAATCGTGAGAATAAACTCATAAAATTTCGAGAATAAAGTCGTTGTGTTTCGAGAAAAAACTCGTTAAATTTCGAGAAAAAAGTCGAAACAATCGTGAGAATAAACTCATAAAATTTCGAGAATAAAGTCGTCGTGTTTCGAGAAAAAAGTCGAAACAATCGTGAGAATAAACTCATAAAATTTAGAGAATAAAGTCGTCGTGTTTCGAGAAAAAAAACTCGTTAAATTTCGAGAAAAAAGTCGAAACAATCGTGAGAATAAACTCATTAAATTTCGAGAATAAAGTCGTTGTGTTTCGAGAAAAAAAAATCGTAAAATTTCGAGAAAAAAGTCGAAATAATCGTGAGAATAAACTCATAAAATTTCGAGAATAAAGTCGTTGTGTTTCGAGAAAAAAACTCATTAAATTTCGAGAAAAAAGTCGAAACAATCATGAGAATAAACTCATAACATTTAGTCATTTAGCAGACGCTTTTATCCAAAGCGACTTACAACTGAGGACTAAACCAAGCGAGTCATTGTGAAGAGGCAAAAACAACGCAAGAAGTGCTCAAAATACAAAGTTCAGACATAGCTCGGAGTAGCATAAGCCAGGCAAGCGAGGATTTAGAGGAAAGGATTTTTTTTTAAAAAAAATTTATGTTAAGTGCTCCCGGAAGAGATGAGTTTTCAGTTGTCTTTTGAAGACAACTGAAGACAAATCTTTTGAAATTTTATTCAGTTGTCATAAAATTTCGAGAATAAAGTCGTCGTGTTTCGAGAAAAAAAAAACGTTAAATTTCGAGAAAAAAGTCGAAATAATCGTGAGAATAAACTCATAAAATTTCGAGAATAAAGTCGTTGTGTTTCGAGAAAAAAACTCGTTAAATGTCGAAAAAAAAGTCGAAACAATCGTGAGAATAAACTCATTAAATTTCGAGAATAAAGTCGTCGTGTTTCGAGAAAAAAAAAAAACGTTAAATTTCGAGAAAAAAGTCGAAATAATCGTGAGAATAAACTCATAAAATTTCGAGAATAAACACAACGACTTTATTCTGATATTTAATGAGTTTATTCTCAAGATTGTATTTCACGTTTTTTTTCTGGAAATTTAACGGGTTTAATTTCGCATTGTAATGACTTTAATCTCGAGATGGTTTTATTTTTTTATTATTGCTTGGCCCTAATCCTCTTCTGTATCTCTCTCACTCTTTCACTGTTAAAAAATAAAGTGCAGGAAATGAATCCGATTGGATTGTGTAAACAGTAACGCCCACCTTCTGTGATCTGATTGGCCGTCTCAGTCATTTATAAGAAAGTGCTGTTAGACCAGCCTAAAAGTTGAACGTTTAATACTTTTTGTCATGCAAGAATATTAAATATTGGCGCTGAGAAACGGCCTGCTGTTGAGTGGAAATATCTGAAAGATGATACTTTTTGTTTTCCGTGGAAAAAAATAACATCATGTGGGTTTGTAACGACATGAACTATTCATCTGAGTGTCGATACAAAACAACATATTAAAACTAGACGTCATATCATGACCAGATCAATTACTAACCATGACCACTCTCGGTTTATGGTCAAGTTGGTCCCGTTAGGAGTTAAATTACTCGTTTATAAATCCGCGACGTGTGTCTTTTAGAAGCTCAATCCCTGGCCAATCACAGCAGCTGACAGCCTTGATTGCTCAAATTACCTTCACCTTAAACCATCCCGTTCTTTAGAGACGCCACTGTTGACCTTTGACCTTTCTCTCGCGCTCATCAGGGTCGAGTCTGAAAAACGCCTCGTTGCATCACTTAAGCAGCGGCTCACTATTTATTACCAGGTGAAGTGCTACACAATTGCATTGGATGTCTTTAGACCTTGAGATGTAATGCCAAGGAGAGATATTACAGAATTTAATTCTATTTGACAACTGTTATATGCAGAAATATAAAAAAAAACTACACAAATATAATATTTTACATTTGTTTTACTTTATTTTGCTTATTATATTAAATTATTATTTTTAACATTAAGTTGAAAGTGGGTGACAAGAATAAAATTATTATTAAAGTCATAGTTTTTCAATCTAATTTTAATTATTAAGCTGAAAAAGTGTATGTGGCATGAATGTTGTATATTGTATGGTCATTAAAATAATTAAAACATTTATAATATTAAATAATATGAAACATGTATTTTACGGCATTTTATTGTTTTTTTTAATAACAATAAATATTTTGATAGATTTTTCATGTCACCCAAACTTATTCAAGTTAAAAAATAATAATTTAAATCATTTTCTTAAAATATAAAATCTAATATATATTTTAATTGTTAGACTAAAAAGGTGTAGGTGCCATGAAAATTGTACATTTTATGGTCATAAAAAAAAGAATAATATTAAATAATATAAAACATTTATTTTACTGCATTTTATTATTTGAAATAACTATAAATATTTTTTATACATTTTTCATGTCACCCTTACACCCATACATTGCTAAAAAAAAACAATAATGTAATAATTTTTAAACAATTTACAATAAAATAATTCAAAGATGCATAGTATTAAATATTGGATTTTTAACTATAATAACTGTATTTTATTAACTATAAATATTTTTACATTCGTACTAATCCAAATTATGGTTAAAAATATTTATTTAAATAATTAACATTCTACCATATATTTTAATTATTAAGCTGGAGAAAGTGTAGGTGGCATGAAAATAGTATATTTTATGGTCATTGAAATAATTAGAAGATGCATAATATTGAATAATATAAAAATTTAACATTTTAAAAAATATTATTTTTAATAACTCATTTTTTTTAAATACATTTTCATCCCACCCATACCCGACTTAATTTACAATTTACACAAAAAGTGTTAATAAGTTTAATAACTTGATTTTTTAAAAGAAAAACATTTTTCTTTTTTCGCAGACGAGCCCTTGCTGGTGGAGAAATATTTGATGAGTTTTTATTGATTATAGTATTATATCCTTACCCACAATGGAGAGGATGACGACCACAAAGTCAAAGATGTTCCAGCTGACGGTGAAGAAGTAGCAGCGCAGAGCGATGATCTTCAGGATGCACTCGGCGGTGAAGACGACGATGAAGGCCAGGTTGATGTAGTAGAGGATGTACTCGACGCCGGGAGACTGCTCGTCCGTCTCCACCATCATCGTCACCATGTTGAGGATGATGAGCAACATGATGATGATGTCGAAGGCCTGTTTGGACACCAGGTCGAAGAAGAATCCCTGCACTGGGTTCTGAGGAGATCAACACACACACACACACACACACACACACACACACACACGTGCAAGACTGAGAAAGGCTGGTGAGTGTGTGTGTGTGTGTGTGTGTGTGTGTGTGTGTGTGTGTGTGTGTGTGTGTGTGTGTGTGTGTGTGAGAGTGTGAGTGTGTGTGTGTGTGTGTCTAAGACTTTGTTGTATTTCATTTTATTCATAACATTCATTTTAACAATTATTTTTAGCATTAAGTTGAAAAAATGAGGTTGATGTGAAAAACTATGGTAACACTTTACTTGAACAGTGCATAAGACTGACATAAGACCTTCATAATCATGACATGACACAAGTCATGATGAATATGATGGAGATTTTATGCATGTTTATGACAACTGTCATTAAGTGTCATTCAAGTCAAGTCATCCTCATTTATATAGCGCTTTTAACAATGTAGATTGTTTCAAAGCAGCTTTACAGAGATATAATTTACGGTAACAGAGATGGTTTGAGGGTTTGGTTTTATAGCGGTTCTTGAATAATGTTATTTCCAGCTAAAGTTAGTTTTGATTGATTCACTTCCGTCGAAATGAATTCGCTCAATTATGACATTTTTAATGCAAATATGACATTGTTTGAGATGTGACATAAACTTGACATAAACCAATACATCATAACCTGTCATACACATGACATAGCAGATTAATTATCAGACTTAAGAAACCACTTAGCTTTATGGGTTAACATTACATTAAACTGTCATGTGATTGGTGGTTTTGACATTGGCTGTCATGAGGCATTATAACTGTGTCATGAATATTTTCTTGAGCTCAACTACAGTGGTACACATTTAATTTGTCATTAAAATGTTATAATTGCCTCATGACAGCCAATGTCAAAACCAACCGCATGACAGTTTAATGTAATGTTAACCCATAAAGCTAAGAGCTTTCTTACGTTTCATAATTAATCTGCTATGTCATGTTTATGACACATTTATGACAGGTTGTGTTGTCTTAGTAATGTCAAGTTGTCATGACAAAGACACTGACAGGTTATGATGTATTGGTTTATGTCAAGGTGTCATAACAAAGACATCTCAAACAATGTCATATTTGCATTAAAAATGTCATAATTGAGCAAATGACACTTAATGACAGTTGTCATAAACATAAACATGCATAAACCCTCCTTCATATTCATGTCATGATTATGAAGGTGTCATGTCAATCTTATGCACACCCCTTCAAGTAAAGTGTTACCAAAATGATAGCATGAATATAAAAATATAAAACAATTATAGTCATTAAAATGATTTAAAAAATGAATAATAATATTAAAAATATATTTTAACTATTTGTTTTAGATTTTTATGGCATGGTCATTATACTACATTTATTTTTAACATATACATTAATTTATATATATATTATTATTTGATTATATATATAAATTTTATATATATAAAATTAAAATATATACATCACATAATGATATATATATATATATATCATTATCACATATATATGTATAAATATATAATCATATATATCATTAAATTAGTGATTAGTGATTATATCATTAAATTAGTGACAAGTGATTATATCATTAAAATATGCTGAAAAAGTGTGGGTGTCATGACAAATGTATATTTTTGTTATGGTCATTATACCACATATAATATAATATAACAATGTAATGTAAAGTCATAGTCTCAGGTCTAAAACTGCTATATTTCTGATCCCCCCAGCAGATTATGATTATGATTATGATTATCTGTTACTTACAGGAGGTCGTGGGATCGGTTTCTGCGGTTTCTTGGATCCCAGTTTCTTCATGGCATTATAATATTTCTTCTGTTCTTCTGTCATGAAGATGTCCTGTCCACCTAAGTACACACAAACACTGCTGTTATTATCCCCGTCCACATCACACTCATAATCACACGCACACCTTTATGACTTTAATACTTATCTTTCGCTTCTGTTGGTTGAAATTGTCAATGATGACACCGATGAAGAGATTGAGCGTGAAGAAGGAGCCGAAGATGATGAAGATGACGAAGTACAGGTACATGTACAGGCTCTTCTCTTTAATGGGCTGCTCTTCCACCTGTTTCATCACATTACAGACTCTCACATACGCAAACATAACTTTCATATGCGTTTGAATATGGGATTTATGAAGTGCTTACGGATCGCGAGTCGACTGCGGCGTACATGATCTCCATCCAGCCCTTGAAGGTGGCCTTGAGAAGAAGAGGAGAGATTGTTAAACGCATGTTTCTGCTAATCGTGGGCGGGGCTAGAACCTGTCACTCACAGGAGATCCACCAATAGCAGACCACAACCGTCCAATCAGTTCCTCAGACACAATCAAGCCCCGCCCACATCTGTTATTGTTCCTGAAGTGTTTTACTCGGATATACGAAACAATAGAGAATAAAAGATGAGCGCAACTTCTGTTTCATGCCGACTTAAATTATGACACATTCACATAAATACTTTATTTTATTTTTAATATTAATTTAAATGATTATTTTTAACATTAACTTGAAAAGGTGTGGGTGACATTTTTATATAAATATGTGTATACTTTTTTCATGTCACCAATAGTTTTTATATATTAAATTATTAAGCTGAAAAACTGTGGGTTAATTTTTTTTTTATAATTTCAATATCTATAAATATATATATATATATATATATATAATTTTTTTTTTTTACAATTTTTCATGTCACCCTTACTAAAGTTAAAAATAATTAATTTTGATTAAAAAAAAAATCCTAAGGCTCCAATTTCTTTATGTAATTTTCTAAAATATATTTTGGGCTGAAATGAAACATTCTCGACAGGTTTCGTGAGATTCGCAGATGAATATTAAATAACATGCTGCACATGCTTTGCAAAATGTAATTAATAATTTAATTAATTTAAATAATAAAAAAGTACAATCTAATATATATTTCAATTATTAAGCTGTCATGAAAATTGTATATTTTATATCCATTGAAATAATATGAAGTGATATCAAAAATGTATTTTCCTACATTTTTATTTTATTTTCAATTACTTAATATGTTTTATACATTTTTCATGTCACTCATACTTATCCAACTTAAAGTTAAAAATAAGTATTTTTTTTAAAGTATAATCGAATTTATATTTTAATTATTAAGCAAACTATATTTTAAATCCATTAAAATAATAAAATCTATTTTATTTTTTAATAACTATAAATATTTTGTATATATTGTTTATGTCACCCATACTTATCACATGCACATAAAGTTAGAGAGTTCAAAAGATTACTAATACTTTCTTGTACTTATGCTCTTGTAATCTTTAGATCTTTTGTACTCATCAAGAATAAGATTTGCAATAAAAGCAGGAGAAACGTTTAATTAAGTAGTGATGTAGAACTGGGCAAACATGTGAATCCCTACGGTTGCTCTGTTCTAGTTCCTGGCCATTAGTGACAGGTCTGGGCGCAGTCACAGGAAGGGGACGGCAGGGGTCAGGTGACGTGTTGCTAGGCGACTGCATCAACTAACTTCAACTGAAGAATGAAGTGCAAAAGCTCTCGCTGAGCACAACGTTCGGGATAAAGACTAAATATAATCTCCATTGATCCGCGCTCTCGGACACACAGAGGTGGGAAGTGGCCGGAACAAAACCAACAACAGATCGCAGCTGAAATTTACAGTTAAAAAAACTGCTAAATTTAGCCATCATAGAGGGAAAGTTTATAATTTGGACGTAGTTCGGGACTCGCGCGTCAAGCCACGCACACTCGAAGCATGCAGAGAGAGAGAGAGAGAGAGAGAGAGGATTAAAGTTTATTATTATTACTTATTATTACAATCGAATTGCTATTACAAAAGATGTAAAAAATTTTTTACAAAGTACATAAAAATGAATAAATTACACTTTCTTTCCTTCTTTTTTTTCTTTTCTCCCTTTTTTAAAACCTCATTATCATACAATGTACATAATACTTAATTCATTCCCCATAATTCTATAAACTTTGGTAGAGATTCCACAGTATGCGTACTCCACCCTCAATCGAGAAGCTGCCGAGCCTAAAAACAGGCACCGCGTTTATTGAACAGTCTGGTCTTCCTTGTCTTCCAATTAGCCAATTTTGCAAATTAATTAAAACCAACACAGTTTTCTTTTGAAATGAATACTTTGAGAGAGGGAGAAAGAGAGAGAGACAGAGTGAGTGAGTGAGAGAGTGAGTGAGTGAGTGAGTGAGTGAGTGAGTGAGTGAGTGAGTGAGTGAGTGAGTGAGTGAGAGAGAGAGAGAGAGAGAGAGAGAGAGAGAGAGAGAGAGAGAGAGAGAGAGAGAGAGAGAGAGAGAGAGAGAGAGAGAGAGAGAGAGAGAGAGAGAGGTGTGTTTCAGACAGCGTTTGATTCCTCGTTGGCGTTTCCTTGCCCTTGAACGACACACACACACACAACATTATGTCTATACACCCGTCTCTGCAAGTGTTCTCTCGGTTCTGTCATGAGGGAACAGTTGAGAAAGAAACCGGATGTTTGTCAGTATATTCGGTCTTAAAGTGACAGCACTAATATTCCTTCTGTCATCTGTGTCATTAATATTAATAAAACAACAAAATACAGCTTTAACAAAAATGAAACTATATTTAATTTCTACAGTGAACAAATAGCGTTATTTTACATTCAGGCTTAATTATTAATTTCTGCACCTGAATAATGTTAGACTTTGTTATTTAGTATTCATCTCTGCTTGTAATTTGTGTATTTGTAATTTTATTACTGACTGTTCACTTATCTTTAATAATGTGTGAACTTTATCAGTTAGGCCGGTAGTTTTGATGAAGAACTTTAGTGAGCTTTAAGTAATAAATGAAAAGCAAAGCCCCCCCCCCCCCCCCCCCCCATAAATATATATATATAAAATTTGTCAGGTGTATTCTTTGGCTGACAAATATGAATCACAATATGTTTATTAGTTTGTTAAAACTGTGTAATCCAAATGCATGGACATTTTATATGCAATTACAATACATAAATCATATTTTGCATTACAGTAATAAGCAACTTCGCATTTTCGCTTTTTGTCATAAAAATGTTTTATTGCTCCTAAATAAAAATAAATATTTTGATCGATTTTTTACGTCACCCATCCTTGTCCATCTTAAAGTTAGAAATAATAATTGAAATAATGTCCTAAAACTGTCCGATGCAGCATGTGTGTTGATGAGAGTGTGAAGCTCACCACTTGCAGGAGAGCGAGGTACCCCGCGCCCACGTTGTCGAAGTTGACCTTGACTTTGGTCCAGTAGAACTGTGTGTTGTTCATCTCCAGGCACTCGGACTTGTTGTTGATGTGGGAAGCGTTGTAGATGAAGCCGGTTCTGTTGACGCAGCGCCCGAACTTGCCGGCGAACAGGTTGACCCCCATGATGCTGAAGATGAGCCAGAAGATCAGACACACCAGGAGGACGTTCATGATGGACGGGATCGCCCCGATCAGAGCGTTCACCACCACCTGGAGAACACAACACACACTTCAGACCGGGATCGACACACACCAGGCGCTGTCAGTCCAGCTCTGCTCCTGATTTATGAATGGCCTTTGGCGATCGGCATTTATGCTTTCGTGTCAGCGATCTCAAACTCGTGATGTGACGAGGCGGTTTAAATGTCATTTACGGCCATTCATAAAACATGAACATTATTAAAAGCTGAACTCTACAGGATTAAATGCATCAGAGGATTTGAATTCACTACAAATTCAATTAAAAAAAGTATTTCCAAATGTGAATGTGAATGCATTTCATGTGCATTTAGCAGTTTTGAAAGTACTTGATTTAATATATTCTAAATATTAAAATCGTATAAATTTCATATTCAAAAATGATCAAATCTTCTAAGAATCTTTCACTGTTAATGTACAATAAATTGGCATATTTTTGCCAATTTAACAGTGAATCTCACAAAAGCTGTCAAGTCTACATCACATTTCTCTTCATAATTTGCATGCAAATCAGTTTTTAGGAGCAATGTTAAACACTTTTTTAGTTTAATAATTAAAATTGACATTTTTAGAATATTATTTAAATTATTGTTTTTAACTTTAAGTTGGACAAATATGGGTGACATGAAAAATCTATCAAAATATAATTTTTTATTAAAAATAATACATTTTTAGGAGCAATAAAACATTATTTTTATGACAAAAAGCCTCATTGCGAAAATGCTCATTATTGTAATGCAAAATAAGTCAATAAGAATATAACCAGATTTGTGTATTGTAATTGCATATAAAATTTCAATGCATTTTGCCTACACTAATAAACATATCGTGATTCATATTTGTCAGTCACACATAAATGAAACGGGTCAGATTTCTGCACTGCAAAAAAACATAATGGCATCGTTTATTTGCAACTATTTGAGTTGATTTAAATAATCAAATAAAAAAAAAGCATTTATTCCAATTTCCTAGAATCAGCATAAATGGATGAAAATTTGTATCTAATTTAAATACACAAGTCTTACATTTAGGCCTAAATATTTTGATTTAAATGCAACATATAAATAGAAAACAATTTCTTAAATTTCTTTATGTAATTTTTTTAATTTATTATAGGCTGAAATGAAACATCCTCGACAGGTTTCGTGAGATTCGCAGATAAATATTAAATATCATGCTGCACATGCACACATTTTTCTGAACACTGTATGAAATAAGCCTGGGAATAATCACAACAACACCACATCATCGTCAACATGCAGGAGATATTAGCTGGATGTAAAAGTGCTGAGACTCATTCAGCGGGTTTAGCTGTGTGTGTGAGCGAGCACTTCTCTCTGCTGTCGCTCTAAAGCGTGTGAAGTTTAATATGATTTTCCAGATTTATGGCCAGCGGACGGGGAATTCCTCGCCTCTCAGACGCACTTTCACTGAGCGTGCAAATCTAAACCAATGCCATTCAATTTGCTCGCGCTGGCGCTGGACAGAACTGCAGACTAACAGCAAATCACACTGTACCAGAACATAAGCATATTTCTTTTTGATTGATTTCTTGTTATTTCTTTATGGAAGCTTGTTTCCGCCACGGGACAACATTTTGAAAAGATAATTGCCACTTTTGATCTCGCAATTGCAAGTTATAAACTCGAGATTATATCTCACAGTTCTGACTTTTCTTTCTGACAAAGTTTACATCTCACAGTTCTGACTTCTTTTCTCAGGGGTTTATATCTCGCAATTCTGACTTTTTTTCCTCAGAATTCTGTTTTTTTCTCTCTCTTAATTCTAAGTTTACATCTCACTATTCTGACTTTTGCCCTCAGAATTCTTTTATATCTCGCAATTCTGATTTTTTTCTCTCACTATTATGACTTTTTTTGTTTCAATATTCTAAGTTTACTTCTCACTTTTCTTCCTTTTCTTTCAGAATTGTAAGTTTACATCTCACTAGTTTTCTTTTTTTTTCAGTATTCTAAGTTTAAATCTCACTATTCTGAATTTTTTCTCAGAATTCTACGTTTATATCTCCCAATTCTGAATTTGTTTTAAATTTCTAAGTTTACATCTCACTATTCTTCCTTTTCTTTCAGACGTGTAAGTTTACATCTCACTATTCTTCCTTTTTTCAATATTCTAAGTTTAAATCTCACTATTCTGACGTTTTTTCAATATTCTAAGTTTACATCTCACTATTCAGATTTTTTTCTCAGAATTCTACGTTTATATCTCCCAATTCTGAATTTGTTTTAAATTTCTAAGTTTACATCTCACTATTCTTCCTTTTCTTTCAGAATTGTAAGTTTACATCTCACTATTTTTCTTTTTTTCAATATTCTAAGTTTACATCTCAATTTTCTGATTTTTTTTCTCCGAATTCTACGTTTATATCTCCCAATTCTGAATTTATTTTAAATTTCTAAGTTTAAATATTGTAATTCTTTCTTTTTTAAAATATTCTAAGTTTAAATATTGTATTTCTTTCTTTTTTTAAATATTCTAAGTTTACATCTCACTATTCTTCCTTTTTTTCAATATTCTAAGTTTACATCTCACTATTCTTCCTTTTTTTCAATATTCTAAGTTTACATCTCACTATTCTTCCTTTTCTTTCAGAATTGTAAGTTTACATCTCACTATTTTTCTTTTTTCAATATTCTAAGTTTACATCTCACTTTTCAGATTTTTTTCTCAGAATTCTACGTTTATATCTCCCAATTCTGAATTTGTTTTAAATTTCTAAGTTTAAATATCGTAATTCTTTTTTTTTCAATATTCTAAGTTTAAATCTCACTATTCTGATGTTTTTTTTCAATATTCTAAGTTTACATCTCACTTTTCTGATTTTTTTCTCAGAATTCTACGTTTTAATCTCCCAATTCTGAATTTGTTTTAAATTTCTAAGTTTAAATCTCGTAATTCTGACTTTTCTTTCAGAATTTTAAGTTTAAATCTCACTATTCTGACTTTTTTCTCAGAATTCTAAGTTGTATACATTTAGTGTTGTATACAATGACCTTTTTTAAATGCCATGGCGAAAACAAGCTTCCATGTTTCTTTAATCCATTTTAAATCAAACTTTTATTATTTTTGTCTGCATGTTTATGTTCTTAAATGTTTAAATAGCTGAAATATGACTGTGGATGAAATGTGCTGTATGATAATATTCCAGCACAGCATGTCGGCCTATGCACATGGTGTTGTCTGGATGAAGATGAAGATAACACTGAGTGGGTGAGTGATGAAGAGAACAAGCAGGCGGCGAGGCGGCACTGGCTTCCCACATGCTAAAAGCACATTTCTGACATTCAATTATCCAGAATACTGATGGTGTTTCCCAGCGGACAGAAACTAGCTTCATCATCTGGCTGTTTCTCCTCATTCAGTCTGTTTAATAATCTACCACAGCACACACACTACTCTACACACACATCACAGTAACACCCTGTAATACTGGCAGGAAATCAAACAAATTAATACATACAAGAGAAGGAAAAGAAGATAACACTGTAAATGTAACACTGAAAACAAGAAAAGGCAGTCCATCTGAACCCAGAGGTTCTCCTTCGGTTCGTTTATTCCAGTTTTTTATATGCTAACACAATTTTAAGAGACAGTAGATGTATCAAACGATCATTTAATAATAATACATTTTTATTTAGTTACATATTTTATTCTTAAATAATTAAAATCTATTTAAAAGGTCACTGTATTGTGTAATATTTTAATTATAATACATTTGTAGTTATATATTTTATTCTTTATTTGATTAAAATTCACTCAAAATGTCACTGCATTAATTATGTAATTTTATAAGGACTTTATGACAAAATAATCCTAGTTTATATCTCCCAATACTGGAAAGTCTTTCCCCTGTAAAGCTTCCAGCAGAAACCGAGACGTCTCCCTTCAGAGTCAGTCTGCATGAAGATGAAACGGATCAAATTTGATTAAACAAAAGTGCAGTGAGAATATCCCCGAGATGGAAGCAGCTTTTAAAGCAACCACTAATGCTGTAAGAAACACTTCACATCAGGAGCACGTTTAGATGTGGGTTAGTGGAACTACTGGGGGATTGGTGGATGGAAGTTCATAAACACAAACAAAAACATGATCATGTTGGGCCGATGGGGTAAATCTGATGAAAGCACGTCACATTTCAATCAAAAAAATCAATTACACTTTGTATAAATTAAATTAATAAAAAAAAATGTTGTGCATTGTCTCATTATTAATAACAATGAAACTTTTTTGTTTGTAATTCTCATTATTCTTAATGGCGATTCTCATAAATGTTTTACTAATATCAGCATTTTTATTAATATCAGCATAAATTATAACAAACACTACCATGACGTATAAACACTTTGCCAATGAAATAAATTAGCCTTATTTTTTTTTCACCATTACTATGAGATTTTTGGTTGAAAATGTTTTTTTTTGGGGGGGGGGGGGGGGGGGAACCCGCCCCCCCCCCCCCCCCAAAAAAGAAACTGATGTATGACCTGAACATCATTTCACGCCCACAAAGACAAAGAAAATGATGTATGACCTGAACATCATTTCACGCCCACAGATATTTTCTTTATAACTCACAAATGAGATTTTAATCAGCTATTCAAACAATCTAATGTAATTAATTAGCAGATTAACATAGTAACCCTGCTTAAACCAGCATAAAGTGGTTAGTTGGTCTGGTTTGATTACAGTACATTAAGGAATAAAAAAAAAATGTGCAAATGTATCCATTGGTTGTGTCTTTTGTGTTCATCATGTGAAAAGGTTTGTGAAACTGGGGAACCACAAGCAACATAACTTACCAGTTTTGGAAATGTTGTTTTGAATTTATTGCACCAGTGTGTAAGACTATGTTGTAGTGTGTGTGTGTTGTAAGGGCTTGTGTGTGATGTCTGAGGGCAAGGTTGAGTGAATGTAGTGCTTCGTTTTGACCTGAAAATAGGATGTTTGGGGAACTGGGAGAGACGTTATGGATTTGTGTTTATAGTTTTAAGAATATGAGGCATAGTTTGAAGAAATGTTTTTAGGCAATCGAGAAAAACTGTAATAAAATGTTCTTCGCACTAAGAAAAAACACAGTAGGTCTTTTAAGAACTGATCACTGAAAGGGAAGCAAAAACGGTAAAATCAACTTTTAAAAAGCTTTATTTTCAAGAGTGTTTGACCTTAACACCACCTCAGGCTGGTTTAAGAAAAGACTTGTGAAAGTGTCGGTTTAATATTTGTATTTCTGTCCTCAGCAAATTCCCTATTTTCTGTTTTGTTTTTGTGAAACTTCCTGTCTCTGAGCATAAAAAGAGAGAAAAGGCCTCTGGAAATGGAGCATTCACAGATGTGACAGAGAGACGAGTATATCTTACCCTCATGCCTTCAAACCGGGACAGCGCTCGCAGCGGTCTGAGCGCTCTGAGCGTTCGCAGAGATTTGATGGCAGCAAAGTCGGAGTATCCGAGTGTGTTTGCTACGAGGCTAACTAGAGACACCTATGAGTGACACAGAGCCGAGGACAAAGAGAAGATACAAATGCAGCGTTAATAAAACACACCTGCAACAGTCCTGAGGAAGGAAAACACACGCTTCTTCTCTGTGCTGGGAGGAAAAATGAGGATTAATCGGGATTCGTTTTCTTTCAGTTTCAGCAATCAAAGCCGGACCTGTCAGTGATAAATGTTGCTTTAAACGGCGTGGGTCATTGTTTTCTCCCGACTCTTTGACCTGTTAAGGACTGAAGGGCAGTTTAGTGGGCATCTTTGAGCCGTCTACTGAGTGCACTCAGACTCGGGCCCGTTCGGAGCGGGTCTTACCCTCATCCCAGCAAAGCGAGAGACGGCGCGGAGAGGCCGGAGCGCCCGGAGAGTCCGGAGAACACGCATGGTTCCGATTTGGTCATAATTGAACGCACTTGCCACCAGACCAATCACTGAAACCTGTATGAATTGAATTCGTTTAGTTAGAGTTTCTCATGAATTTCAAATTATTCATATTAATCAAATGGGAATTTCAATGCCAATGTAAATGCATTTCATGTGCATTTAGCAGTTTTGAATGCACTTTATTTAATATATTCCAAATATTAAAATCTTATAAATTTCATATTCAGATATAATAAAAATCTTCTCTAAGAATCTTTCACTATTAATTTACAATACATAAAATATTTTGAACCTAAAATATGATGCTCACTACAAATTAAATGTAAAAAATATTTCAATGCCAAAGTAAATGCATTTCATGTGCATTTAGCAGATTTGAAAGTACTTGATGTAATATATTCTAAAAATAAAAATTGTATAAATTTTATTTTCAAATATAATCAAAAATATTATAAGAACTTTTGACCTTTAATTTACAATACATCAGATATTTTGAACCTAAAATATGAGTTCACTACAAATTAAATTCAAAAAGTATTTCAATGGCAAAATAAATTTTATTCATTTCATATTATTCTAATAGGAAAAATTTAAAAAGACATTAAAATGACTTGTGTCTAAAACATATATAAATATACATTACTATATAAATTAAATCCTTTTTTAAAAACAAGTAAATTTTAAGATTTTGGGCTATTTGGCATTTCAAAATGTGTTGTTTCAGATTAGTGGAAAGACATCCAAAATGTACTCTTAAGTGTTTATTTTATTGTTATTTATCTATTTGTGTCTGTAGATTTCAATTTCAATTCATATATTTAAAGGCCGTTTTCACAAAATGAGTTTTTTTCTCCACTTCAGAAGCACTTATATTCATCAAAATTTACAGTTTTATTCCTATCTATATTCTGAAGGTTTTTACTGAGGGGTTTGTTTATATATCATTTGCCTCATTTTTTACAACATTTTATTCCTGAAAGCATGTTGAAAATTAAGTACTTTCTGTCTGTTGACAGTTTTTTCTGATTTATGGAGTGATAAAAAGAGAAATCAAAAATCCCCTCAGTAAAAAACGTTAACTCTAATATGTTAACCAAATCAAATTAGTATTTTAAACCTGTTTTTATCCAATGTTCAGATATTTGTTCTGGAATTGTATGCATATTTACTTAGATAATGCATATTTCCGAAAACTTGTAACACAAATTTTTTTTTTTTGAAATTCTTTCTGTTCTAAAAACATACATTTTAAGCACATTTTCTACATTTCATGTATTTCAGGTGAAGGTGAAGTGTGTAATTTCTCCAACCCTTCCATCCCCAAACAGATACGAGAAAGTATTTTAAAGTATTTTTACCTTTCACATCACATCTTTAGAACTTAGTTTCAAACTCACAGCCCTCCTCACCAGTATATAAGTATTTAACCACATACTGTATATAAAACTCAAATCCATATTTATAAAAGCACAGTACAGTAATGATTATTCCATATACACTATGAAACATTGCAGTGCAGTATCTGAACAGTGATGCAGTTGTGGTTGTTTTGGCTCTTTGGTCACAGTAACAAATGGCATTTATAACTGAATAGATAAAGAATTCTCTACCACAAATATAGAAATGCAGCTTAGAAATGAGAAAAATACTGAACTGCTACAATGATCTATTGTAGCAATTATCCTGAATTAACCCCTAATTTTTTTTTTTTATATAATTATTCTATAAACATTAAAAATGCTTTTTTTGGACTAACTCTTTCAAAGGAAACAACAAATTATAGATTTTTTTTATTAATTTAATGTGCATTTAAAAGCACTCAATATATACAATTAACCTATATGAATTCATTACTTTGAACCTAAACCCTTAATATTTTAAAAGTTGTGCATAAATTGATATAGAATCAGCCAACCCAAATATGTACATACTTTACGTATGAATACCTACAAATATTAATGAGATTGTGATCATGAATAAAATGAAAAAAAAGAGATTAATTTAATGTGCATTTAACACTTTATAAGCGCTCAAAATTAAAATTAACCTACACTATGAATTCAATACTTTGAACCTAAACCTTTAATATTTTAAAAGTTGAGCATAAATTGATATAGAATCAGCCAACCCAAAATTATGTATGAATACCTACAAATACTAATGAGATTGTGATCATGAATAAAATAAAGAAGAATTTTTTTTTTAATTTAATGTGCATTTAACACTTTAAAAGCACTCAATGTTAAAATTAACCTATATGAATTCAATACTTTGAACCTAAACCTTTAATATTTTAAAAGTTGAGCATAAACTGATATAGAATCAGCCAACCCAAATATGTACATACTTTATGAATACCTACAAAAACGAATGAGATTGTGATGTACTGAAATACAGGACCAAAACAAACAGCACCGTATCACTGGACTGCATCTGGAGTGCGAACAACAGCAAAACAATATGACAATTATGATAAATGATCTTTTGATAACACTCACAAAATGCTGAAACGCATTTATTTGATTATAACCTAAAAGTTGATCTCTGTAAAACTGGCCTCATTCAATCTTCCTGAGATTTGAAATGTTTCATAATAAAGCTCTATGGCTGTTATTCATATGCAGTTAGACGCTGGTAAAAGTTAGCTGATGCACTTACATCCACGATGAGAAAGTCCAGCCAGCACCAGTAGTTGGTGAAGTACTTCTTGAAACCGTAGGCGATCCACTTCAGACTCATCTCTAAGATGAAGATGTAGGTGAAGATCTTGTCTGCGTATTCAAGCACCACTTTGACCACTTTCCTCTGTTCAATGTAGATGTCTTCAAATGCCTTTCAACAGAAGAAGCAGTGTGTTAGGAAAGCACACACACAGGCCAGGGTGAGGAAGACTTTATATTATAAAGAAAGAAAGTCACTCGGGTTTGTGAGATATTATTATTGTCTTTATTAATATTTTGACTTTTATGTTTTCTGTTATCATTCAGTTCTGTTTTTGCCATTTAAAAAAAAAAAGTCTTTATTCATTTTTACATTAAGTTAAACTACATAAAAATAAGAAATGTTTCAAATAAATTTGATTTTATTTTATGGTTATAGTTTTAGTTAATGATAATAACCCTGGTTTTGACGAGTGTTAATTTAGTACGATTGAGATAATAACATTTTTATTGTATTCATTTTTATAAATATTTTAAATGTTTCTTTTTAATTAGTAATTTAGTTGTGTTTTCTTTCTTTAAGTATGTCTTAGTTTTAATTAATTTTAAATAATATAATACATAATAATATATATTGTTCAGTTAACGATTGTTTTATTTCAAGTAACAAAATTGTTTCGTTATATATATACGAGCAAATGATACGTTTTTATTGTTGCCTGATGTATTTCCCTCTGTGTTAATTGTGCCGTGTGTTTGTCTGAGCGCTTCTGCTGCACATACGACGTCCAGGCAAACATCTGCGTCCACCAGACTCTCCACTGGTTTTTGCCGACTCTGCAGTTTCTCATTTTCTGCTTACTTTCTGTTTTCCTGAGTAATCCTTCAAGTGCACGTCTGAAAGAACAGCTGCCCGCTGAAGCTGCTGGTAAATGCCACTAAAATACCAGCGGCTCGACACACACCTGGCACCCGCGCGCGAGACAACACTGACATTCGGCCCTCTCTGGGAGTCACACACACACACACAGGGTCTTTAAGGAAATCACCAGTGTTATATAACATTATGCAGCGGTGGGAATATATTTCTTTGCTCTGGCATTTACTGTTTTCTGTGTTGTGCATAATCTTACAAAGTCAGAACTGGTAATGCTTAAAGTCAACATGAAATCAACATTGCTTCTCAGTGCATCTTACTGTCATGCATCATCAGTGCATGTTATAATAAATCGAATTATATCATATTACAGTATAATAACATTCCTTCATTAATGCATTAAACCATTATATAATGCTTAATGTTAGTAGTTATTGCACATGAACTGAACACATATACACTACTGTTCAAATGTTTGGGGTTGGTGAGATTTTTTAATGTTTTAAAAAAAAACTCTGCATTTATTCAATTAAAAATACAGTAAAAACAGTAATATTGTGAGATATTATTACAATTTCAAATAAGTGTTTTCTATGTGAATATATTTTAAAATGTAATTTATTCCTGCGATCCAAAGCTGATTTTTTAGCATCATCACTTCAGTCTTCAGTGTCACATGATCCTTTCATGATTATTATCAATGTTGAAAAAAAGTTCATATATTTTTTAATGGAAACCGTGATAGATTTGGATTTTTCAGGATTCTGTGATGAAAAGAACAGCATTTATTTGAAATATAAATATACTGTCACTTTTGATCAATTTAATGCATCTTCGCTGAATTAATTTCTCTTTATAAAAATCATATAATCATCCACATATCATTTTCTTATATGAAACTATTTTAATGCACACTATCTAATGAGCCAATTAGATAACAATTCTTCAATGAAGAATTAATGCAATAATGAAAGTGTTACTGAAAGTCAAATTTTTGAGCAATAACTGCAAGAATGCGCTGCATTTCATTCTCACTGTCGTCCTATTCACGCGATAAACCTTTAAAAAAACACACAAACGTCCGGCGACAAATGAATACCAGTGTTAGTTTAGTCCTAAACCGAGGCTGTGACTGGGATTATAACACGTGTGGTGTAGATTAACGTACGCTGACATCTGCACGTTTCCAGTCCGTGAGGGAAAGCTGTCCTGAGGTCAGTGAAGCAAGCAAACCAACCAGTGTGATTATCTGATGTCAGCCAGTCTTCACTGACTCTCTGGGTCAGTTTTTGCTTTCATAACATGTGACTATACAGTTTTATTCATATCATCTGAAGGTTTGTTCATACTGTATATCATTTGCCAGATTTATATAACATTTAATTCCTAAAAATATGTTTTTATAATATGTTTTTTCTGATTTATGCAGTGATAAAAAGAGAATACAAAATCTCCTCTGTAAAAACCTTTACCTCGAATATTAAACAATTATCAAAATTAAACATTCGTTTTGAACCTCTTTGTATCCAATGCTCAGATTGAAGCTGTTACGGAAATGTATGCAAATTAATGCATATTTAATTTGATAAAGCATCATTTGCATATTTAAGCATAACGAAGATTTTCATGTCTTTCTTTCTTCAGTCGAAAAGAAATGAAGCTTTTTGATTCTGTCGCTGCGTAACACGAGAATGAACCTCGCTGGACTGTCAATAGAGGGACAGAAATCTCTTAGATTACAGTAAAAATATCTTCATTCATGTCTATTATTAAGAAATAATTCATGTAGTCAATCTGCTAAAATTATTTTAAAAATGTGTAATTAATTCATTTGTTAAGATATGCATTATGTTAAACATAGTTAAATTCCCTTATACTGAAAATACAAGTCTGGTGATAAAAGCTAATTCTTCTAAGACTTATTTGCTATGGTGTAAAATAGTATTAGTAAAAAGAAATGGTATTGTGCTAATGCTTACCAAATTAAACCCGTATAAACTGTTATGTACAGTATGAGATTTCAGTGATTACATGTATGTGCATTGCTGTTTACTTAAGGTTTGTTGTAAATATTTACACTGGTTTGTTGTGTGGTTTCAAAGGTTTTTCACCTACTGAAATTCTGCAATAAAATGAGAGAAGGCAACTTAAAGGGTTAGTTCACCCAAAAATGAGAATGATGTCATTAATGCCTCTCCCTCATGTCGTCCCAAGCCCGTCAGACCTCCGTTCATCTTCAGGACACAGTTCTTAAGTGTCACCGGCCCACCGGTGGGCCCAAATCCATTACATTTTTAAAACAGTAATATCCTATACTAAACCTAAACTAATCTTGACAAACTATATATCATTTGAAAGCTTACAATCTCTAGTTTCCATATTTGGTGATTAATTTTCAAAATGAATTACAGAGGAGCCATAATTTATCAATTTGAAACTAGAATATTTTCATACTCAAGGCGTGTTTAGACCTTTATTTTGAAATAGTGATGAACATGAAAAATCATGAAAGAAGGGTAGAAACCTCCGTTTGTTTTCATGCCAAGAGTTCAAAAGATAGCATCCATTCAATTGTTTTAGAAAAAAAGGTCTGAATTTTTTTTAAATATTAAGAAAAAAATAATAGATTCACCATTTGTGATGTGGCAGCGAGCTATAACGCACATACTTGTTCTTTTTGTGTTTCTTAGAGGTTGAATTCATATCAAAATCTGCCAAACTTCTCATATTACTTCTGAATAGGATGTCTACTTCATAAATTGTATGAAAATTGTGGAAATAATGGTTCATATCACTCAAAACACATATGGAAATGGAGGCGCCCTTATATGGGCAGTAATGGAGTCTGGTCGTGCCCTAGTGGAAGTGTTCGGTACTGCGCCCAAACAAAAATCTTACTGAAAGCTCATTTTTTGAGATATCAACCTAAAATTTGAAACACAACTTGTTCAGATTTTTGACTTTGATTTTTTTTGCAGTTTTAGAGTCGCCCAGGTTTTGAAAATATATATTTTCTATAAAATATGAATAATTCAATTTTTTACATGGTACATTTTCATAAAATCAAACTTCTATAACTTTTTTTCTGTTTAACTTTCTTAATTTATTTCACTTCTACAAAAATCTGCCAAATGTCTTCTTTAAAACGAGACCAATCTTACGTCTATATTCCAAAGCATTCTTGAATTACAACCATTTAAGTTTGAAATGTGCATTTTCATGTATATTCAAAAAAAGGGGGGGGGGTGACACTTAAAGGGTTTTAAGATATTTTAGATTTAGTCCGAGAGCTTTCTGTCCCTCCATTGTAAATGTGTGTACGGTATACTGTCCTTGTCCAGAAAGGAAGTAAAGACATCATCAAAGTAGTCCATGTGACATCAGTGGGTGAACGCGGATCCACAACAGAACCGGAAGACACACACACACACACACACACACACACACACCAGACACACGTCAGCAGCGTCTTACGTCAGCGGCGGCACTGAACGCGGATCCACAACAGAACCAGAATACACACACACACACACACACACACACACACCAAACACATGTCAGCGGCGGCACTGAACGCGGATCCACAACAGAACCGGAACACAATACAATGCTGAATAAAGTCCTAGTTTTTGTTATTTTTGGAGCAAAATGTATTTTCGATGCTTCAACACACTCTAACTAACCCACTGATGTCACATGGACTACTTTGATGAAGTCTTTATCTCCTTTCTGGACAAGGACAGTAAACCGTACATACATTTCCAATGGAGGGACAGAAAGCTCTCGGACTAAATCTAAAATATCTTAAACTGTGTCCCGAAGATGAACGGAGGTCTGACGGGCTTGGAGCGACACGAGGGAGAGGCATTAATGACATCATTTTCATTTTTGGGTGAACGAACCCTTTAAGCCTCATTGTTGTGAGTGGAATCCAGTGTTATTGAGAAGTAAGGATCCCTTTTCAAGTGTGGGACCCGTGCAGCTTATAACACTTGACAGTGTTTGGAAGATGACCACAAGTCTTACAGGAGTGTGTGTGAGTAATGATGTGTAAAGTGCATGTAGAGATGAAGCTCACGAGCGCTCCACTGCTGAGGAGGATCATGAAGATGATGAAGGTCTCGAACCAGCTGTGCTCCACGATCTGGTAACACGTCTTCCTCAGACGCCACCAGGCCCGGCCCAGACCCTGCGACGTGTTGATGTCACAGCACTTAAAGTGGCGGACACACACTGGGGGAAAACATTAGCATTAATATCAGTGATTATTCATTTCTTAACAAGCAAGTATGCATTACTTCAATGAGCTCATTTTTATTCATATTTTGATTTAGCTTTTATTTTCGTAGTTATATTTTTAGTGTTCATGTTTGTATACAATTTTTTTGTCATTTCGTTATATGCTTTTGTCGTTTTATTAATTTTTTTATATTGCTACTTAGATTTAATACAATTTTTGTCAACAATTTCCAGACAACAATTTTAGTGATTCAACTTGGCAAGGCAACATTTAAAATTTTAGTTTAGTTTAAGTTTTCAACTAATATTTTTATTTTATTTTATTATTTTATTTATTTATTAAACTTTTTTTTTTTTTATTAAACTTTTTATTTTATATATATATATATATATATATATTCTAAATATTTTACAGAAATATTTTATTTTATTTCATCTTAATTTCAATTAACGTAAATGTTGATCGGCTCACTGTGTGTGTCCTTCAACTAAAAAGTAATAAAATATTAAATAATGTAACTAAATGATCAATAATAACATATTAAAACATTAACAAAAAGTTCTCAAACTAATTCTCTGAAGTAAAATGTATATTATTGTGTAAAAATATCATGGATTTTTAAAAAGTCCTTTTTGTTTGAGTATACTGAGGTCCGTGCTATGACATCATTTCCTGTTGTGTGTTTTTGTCACATGACAACGAAATGATTCCTGGAGACTAAATGAATAAATGTAAATGGCTACGACACACTGACTAAATATTACTAGTATTTTAAAACAAAACTGCTTCACTTCTTTAGCTTTTAAATCAATTATACTGAATTGAAGAATACGCCAAACTACTTTATATTTTGTAATACAATAATAGATTATCCACGCATCGATCGCCAGTAATTCAGACCATAAGTGAGAAGCAGAAACTCGTTTTGCTGACTTTTCCACTTTCAAAACCTCTTTGTACAAATCAACATTTGAGAACGCGACTTCAAAAGAGTTCAAAGAGCTTGAAAACACTCCAGAAGATCACAGATGCAGTGAAACGTGGAGATCGATGTCTGTGCAACACACACACACACACACGTCAGTGAGGGAAGTGATGAAGTCAGCGCTGGCTGGTAAATGGACCTCGCCGCCGCGGCTGTAAAAGGTCTTCGTCTCGCTAATCTGCGGGTCTTTTATGTGCCATAATCCCGGCGCTCTTAAAGCTCCACGTCTGTATCAACCAGTCCCTGCCATCAAATCCCATTTGAGCCTCGCGCGGTCGGCAAAGCGTCTCCATTACTGCCATCTGAGCTCTTCTAAATTAACTTATTGCCTGTAAACTTAATAACAGGGTTATGGTAACAGGGTTCTCTCAACTCAATTTGTAGCGATGCTCCTGCGCTCCTCAGACATCTAGCACTCGGGCATCAGCATTCATCAGACAATTACCAACATCGAGAGCGAATCAGTATTGGTGACTTCATCATTCTCAGGGAACGTCCGTGTTTTACTCTCCTGACGTGTGTGAGCGCGTGCAGACCGCTCTGCTTACCAGGCATGACTGTTCTAGTGCTCATACTAACATACACTATAAACTACTGCTTTTTAAATAAACGCCAAACCTGTACATTTATTTATTTTATTCCCGGAAAATGTTCATTATTATATTTTATGCATTAAAAATGCAAAATCCATTCATTTCTCCTCTATCTAAAGCATTTATTGCATTGTGCTTCTCCATGAAACCTTTTTAGGCAATCAATAAATCAATAAATCAATAAATAAATAATGTATATTAAGTATTAGTACGTCTATGAAGAAATAAACAAACAAATAAATAAGTATAAATAATGTATATTCATATTAGTATGTCTATAAAGAAATAAAAAACAAATAAATAATGTTTATTCATCTTAGTATGTCTATAAAGAAATAAAAAACAAATAAATAATATTTATTCATCTTAGTATGTCTATAAAGAAATAAACAAACAAATAAATAAGTATAAATAATGTATATTCATCTTAGTATGTCTATAAAGAAATAAAAAAACAAATAAATAATGTATATTCATCTTAGTATGTCTATAAAGAAATAAACAAACAAATAAATAAGTATAAATAATGTATATTAAGTATTAGTATGTCTATAAAGAAATAAACAAACAAATAAATAAGTATAAATAATGTATATTAAGTATTAGTATGTCTAAGAAATAAACAAAAAAAAAAATAAGTATAAATAATGTATATTAAGTATTAGTATGTCTATAAAGAAATAAACAAAGAAATAAATAAGTATAAATAATGTATATTCATCTTAGTATGTCTATAAAGAAATAAAAAACAAATAAATAATGTATATTCATCTTAGTATGTCTATAAAGAAATAAACAAACAAATAAATAAGTATAAATAATGTATATTAAGTATTAGTACGTCTATAAAGAAATAAAAAACAAATAAATAAGTATAAATAATGTATATTAAGTATTAGTATATCTATAAAGAAATAAACAAACAAATAAATAAGTATAAATAATGTATATTCATCTTAGTATGTCTAAAGAAATAAAAAACAAATAAATAAGTATAAATAATGTATATTAAGTATTAGTATGTCTATAAAGAAATAAAAAAAAACAAATAAATAATGTATATTCATCTTAGTATGTCTATAAAGAAATAAACAAACAAATAAATAAGTATAAATAATGTATATTAAGTATTAGTACGTCTATAAAGAAATAAAAAAGAAATAAATAAGTATAAATAATGTATATTAAGTATTAGTACGTCTATAAAGAAATAAAAAACAAATAAATAAGTATAAATAATGTATATTAAGTATTAGTACGTCTATAAAGAAATAAAAAACAAATAAATAAGTATAAATAATGTACATTCACCTTAGTATGTCTATAAATACATTTAAATAAATAAATAAATAAATAATAAATATTAGTATGTCGCACATAGATGATAAAAACGTGACTTATATTTTAGAAAAATATGGTATATTAAATCCTTAAGTTACCATGCATTCAAATCATTAATTTCTAAAATGCATTACTATTGCAAAATGTAAAATGTAAAGTTTCTCTTCTAACTAGAAAGTGTTTATTGCATTTTTTGGGCAATAAAGTCACGTTCGTGAAAGTGTGCCGTTATTCCGTTTATAGGTTCGTTTTAGGCAATAAACAAACAAACTAATAATGTATATTAGTATTGGTATGTCTATAAATGAAATAAATAAATCATATTCATATTAGTATGTCTATAAACAAAAAGCAAACAAATAAATGCAAATAAATATAGTATAAATAATGTTTATTTGTATTAGTATGCCTATAAACAAACAAACAAACAAATAAAAATGTAAATAAATCAATATTAAAATGTGCATGAAAAGTGATGCACATCACTAATATACATTTATACACTAATATGCAATATACATTTACTGATATACATTAGTATCTATAAATAAAAGAATAAATATAAGTATTAATATGTTGCATGTTTTGATGATAAAATATAATTGACTTATTTATATTTTTCAGGAAAATATGGTATGTTAAATCATGCAATAAAATCGATAATTTCTAGAATGCATTAAAAATGCAAAATGTAAAGTGCTTTTATTTTTCTTCTAACTAGAAAGTGTTTATTGCATTGCACTTTTTTGCACGTTCTCCTCAGTGATTCCTGATTCCTTAGTGATTTCCCTGTGTAATGTGTGAACCTGCCCTTTCCCTTCTCCATCAGAGAGCTGTGCTGATTCAATTCAGGCATGTGAAAGTGTGCCGTTATTTCATTTATAGGTGAGAAATCCGATCCGGCCTCAAACGAAACGCTGGGATGTGTCCTGTCATCGGAGAATTACATGGCAGCTCATTTCTCATAAATCATTCACTCCTTAAAAGAGACAGCAGTTTATGGGCTGTCCCGCAAGCAATCGCAGTGTTTTCCTCCGCACGCAATAAAGTCCACAGCTTAGAAATGCAGATTTGAGGCGGTTGTGGAACACACACACACACACACACACACACACACACACACACACACACACACACACACACACACAGACACTTGATTATTTTATTGGGAATGACCAATACTGATTAAAACAACACAGCATCCAAATATTCACAAGGAGCCTGTTATGCGCGCACACACACACACACACACACACATACAAAACATGTACACACACACACACAAACACACAAAACATGTACACACACACACATACAAAACATGTACACACACACACACAAACACACAAAACATGTACACACACACACACACACACACACACACACACACTTCTCAGAACAAACTCGTACTTAACAAAGCAAATGCACACAATATAAAGACCCTCAAGATGATTTTTCTTATTTTCAAATTTGGAGGGAAAGTTGCGAGAGGCTGTAGAATTAAACATTCCATTTGGAACCTTCAACGGTTCCATCAGGCGACTCATATATACACTCTAAAAAATGCTGGGTTGTTTCAACCCATGGTTGGGTCAAATATGGACAAACCCAATCGTTGCGTTTAAAAATGCAATAAAAAAAATTTAAACCAACGCTTAGATTTGTCCATATTTGACCCAACCATGGGTTGAAACAACCCAGCATTTTTTAGAGTGTACAGGGATTCCCAACATGGGACCATTTTATGGATTTAGTTTTAAATCATTCATTCATTTTAAATTTTCATTAAATTTGATGAATTAAACCACTACTTTATCACCAGAAAAAAAATTAAAACCTGTTAAACGTGAATTATTATGCAATCATTTAAGACAATTCTCCTTATATAGAAGCGTTTTGGCATAAAGGGTTGTTTAAAATGAATGAAGAACCCTAGAGTTTATACAGAACATTTTGTGTGCAAAATATCATGTTCAAAACTAATTGCATGAACTATTAGCACTTATTACTAGCACTTCTCGTTTAATGCCTTCTTTAGAGGAATCTCTTCATTTGGATAAAGATGTAAATGTTAATAATTAAGATTTCAATTGTCTTATTTCGACACTAAGAGCCGCCCTTCAATTTCATGACTTATAATTAAGATAAATAACTGATCTTTAATCGTATAAAACTATTATAGTCCGACAGTACGAGTCGAGAGTCAGCGTGTTTAGCGCGTCGGGATGATTCTGGACCGGCGGGTCGATGCATTCAACTAAATTAAATATAGAGAGTCAGTCATCATCAAATTAACACAGGACCATTTCGTCTCTGACGGGCCTTTTCAAATCTATGCTGACGCAGGACATCCAATTTAATGCCCCGTCGCCCTTTTAAATGTCAGTTCATTGGTTAATGTTTTCTATCAAATGGCCTGTGCTTGAGAACGCGAGTAAACAGGAGGATCACAGCGGCGGAGACAGAAAACACTGATCTCACAGGCTTGATACTGCAAATCTCTCGCACTTCAGCTCAAATAAAACACCTTAAGAAAAGCTCTGGGTAAATAAAACCATTTCCATGATGAGGAATAGAAGAATAGTGTTTTTACACATTCATTTTCGGATCCACAAATCAAATCAACCGCATAAACATTTGATTCAAACCAAAAGCATTTGAAAATCTGGAAAAATGCATGTTGTTTGTGTCATTCAATGCTTTGTGTTTTTTTTGTGTGTGGAAAAGATGGAGAAAATGAATGTGATTTTTACTTCTATAACCCAACTTCTGCACTTTACTGAACGGTAAATGCTGTATGATTTGAGAATGAATCGAGCTGTTCGTCATCATAAGAGTAAAGGTCCTCCACACTCAGTGTGTTTATTCGTATTAGTCATTCGGTGTGTGTGAACTGTGAACACACACACCTCTCAGAACGTTAAAAAATAAATACGACCTCACGTTATGTCAATCACGCTTGCACACTGCCTCCGAAACTTTCATCCGTCATTAAAAAAATCGGATCGGGTTCGACTTTCTGTGTTTTTCGCATCCGTAGCGAGCCGTTTGAGAGGTGTTTTGACAATTCAGAGCCATGGCACCGAATCACGAATTCTAAATGTCTCTTGATTTCTTTTTGTCCCATTATTTTTTCTCATTTTAATGCTCTTATCAACATGGAAAAGTGGATCGGCTTGCTTTGTGCAAATGTTTTTTATTGAAAACAACATTGGCATATACTGTGTTCAATTTCACACTAACATTCTCACTTGGAGCAAATAATCTCTCACACAATGTAACACTGTCCATCAATAAAAGGGTGAAAGAAATACTGACGAGGTCCTGATATTGACGAGGGGGCGGAGCTTCGCATCAGCTGTGTGTGTGTGTGTGTGTGCTTGGCCATCATCAAGTGGTATTTCAGACTGGACGAGCTGCGATGATGATAGCTCAGTTCACAACGACAAAACACACAGATCACTTTGGTCTCGTCAATGGGACCATTTGGCAACTTTTTAAAAGTAAACTTTCCATTCAGAATCTTATTGGCATCCATTTCGGCGTCTCGCGCTCGTCATCCACTCAAAACGTAACGTTAACCAACTATTTGGTCAGCTCGCAAGCCCAAACGAGTGTGTGCGGCGTGCCTGTTGTTTTGTTTCCGGTCTAGCTAGATCCGCTTGCGCTTTCAAAGCGTCCTCGCGCGGCGCAAGCCATTGAAATGAATGGGTTTCATAGCGCAGCGCCACGTCTGTTGCAAAAGCATTGGAAAAAAGCTGCAAAGTTTGCTAGGCCAAAAAGACGCCGTTAATCGCGCGATTAAAAAATTGACGCTGTTAAAATGGGTTTGCGTTAACGCCGTTAATAGCGCGTTTAACTGACAGCCCTAGAGAAAAAGCATCTGAAAATTTTGGACTCATTGTGCAAGGGCCTTAAAACGGCGAAATCAAGGCTCCGCCCCCACTCCCGCAGAATGCACTCTCCCAGCACTTATTTAAGTGGCCTATGTCTGCTCCGTTCCTCCGTTCTGCTCCAATTTTGATGTCTGTTGATTGCAGTACGACAAGAGGCTTGTTAAAATAAAGTAAATACAATCTCCTCAGTCCTCCGAAGATCCCGAAAAAGAGTCCGTTGGTGCTTCAGTGACAGAGAACCTGTCAATCACAGCTGTCAATCATGACGTCACACCACCGATGCTTTTATAGCATCACGTAACTAACTAAAAACAAACTTATTTTAAAAACAGACACTTGAACTTACATCAGCGTGATAAAAACGACAGCAAATGACAGAAACCACCTTTGGAAAAAAGATATTTGAAGTGTAATTTAATTGTTTAGTTGGTTGAATAACACGGGGAGGCGGGGTTTATGAGCTATACTGGGACCGGCCACCCGGGGGCGATCGAGACGCTTTGGCTTCACTTTTCAGGGCTTGTGCGGCACGCTTGGGTAAAACAGAAAACTCTTAAGTTCTCTCTACGCAAAATTAAAAAATGCGAACCTGTGAGAACGCTATGGCACGCACGTGCGCATTAAGAGCTCATGCTATAGGGATGCGCGTGTGAATATATGTGCGCAGGCATGTAGTCCTTCCCTAAAACACCAACCCTCAACAAACTACATGTCTGGCCTTAAAATGTATAATACAGAATGTGTGCATCTGTAAGTGTGATATGTGGGATTACGCACGATCAGGAAAGCAGTTTTCCGGATCCATGGTTTCTTCGGCCATCTCGGAGTATTCGTCCTCTTCCTCGCCGGGCTTCCTGAGGTCGATGGTGCTGCCCTCTGATAGGCTGGTCTCATCGCTCTGAAAATCACGAGAGCCAATCAGATCACTGGACCGATGAATTTACTTATTACTTACTTACTTACTTATGATATAGTTCACCTCTGCAATCATTCATGATTCCTGGAGAATTAAAACCAAAAATCTCATTGTGTTTCAGATTTATAAAAGCTCAACCTGCAGGATCAAGCGTTTAGAGATGACAAGCATGACAAGACAAATGTATAGATATGACAATATATAGGCCTGGATAAAAATAATTTTCAAATGTTCAGATGTTTCCATTTTGCGTAATCGTGGAAACCCTCCATCTTCCACGTTTTGGGGTGAAACTGAAAGTTGTTTATTTATAAATTAATTAAATGTAAATACATAAATATTAGTTTGTGTATGTGCATAAAATTGAATAAATGTATATCGGATGGATGGATCTAAAAAAAAGGCATATTTCTCAAAATTACAGTCCATACAAGACGATGCAGAAGTATTAGGTTAATATTCTCAATACAGAATTTGTCAGAAGAGAATCAGAGTCATAAGCGTTGAAAGCGTTGGTTTATTCTGCATGGTGAGTGGGTGTTTGTGCGTGAGAGAGAGTGTGTGTGCACGTGCACGCATGTGTGTGTGTGTGTGTGTGATTTATTCTGCTGTTCAGGGGTGAGCGAGTCTCCAGGTGCGACTTGGTTTCCTTGTCAAACTGCGACACACTCAGTCCATCATCACGTCTGTTCAAACTAGAGGAAGCTCATGCTAAGTGGAGCGCTGAAGAGAGAGAGAGAGAGTGTGTGTGTGTGTGTGTGTGTGTGTTTGTCTGACTGACGGTGTGAGATTGTCCAAGGAAATGTAATACCAGACAGCCGAACTGCCCTCCGGATGACAGATTCCCCCGACGGCACGAGAAACATCGGAGATCATCTGAACTAACATTTGAAAGACCAGTGAGAGTAAAACTGAACTTTTGTGGCATTAAGTTGATCTGTGAGGTTTAGTTTAGTTGATCTGAGGTTTAGTTTAGTTGATCTAAGGTTTAGTTTAGTTGATCTGTGAGGTTTAGTTGATCTGTGAGGTTTAGTTTAGTTGATCTGAGGTTTAGTTTAGTTGATCTGTGAGGTTTAGTTGATCTGAGGTTTAGTTTAGTTGATCTGTGAGGTTTAGTTGATCTGTGAGGTTTAGTTTAGTTGATCTGAGGTTTAGTTTAGTTGATCTGTGAGGTTTAGTTGATCTGAGGTTTAGTTTAGTTGATCTGTGAGGTTTAGTTGATCTGTGAGGTTTAGTTTAGTTGATCTGTGAGGTTTAGTTTAGTTTATCTGTGAGGTTTAGTTGATCTGTGAGGTTTAGTTTAGTTGATCTGTGAGGTTTAGTTTAGTTGATCTGTGAGGTTTAGTTGATCTGAGGTTTAGTTTAGTTGATCTGTGAGGTTTAGTTGATCTGTGAGGTTTAGTTTAGTTGATCTGTGAGGTTTAGTTTAGTTGATCTGTGAGGTTTAGTTGATCTGTGAGGTTTAGTTTAGTTGATCTGTGAGGTTTAGTTTAGTTTATCTGTGAGGTTTAGTTGATCTGTGAGGTTTAGTTTAGTTGATCTGTGAGGTTTAGTTTAGTTGATCTGTGAGGTTTAGTTGATCTGAGGTTTAGTTGATCTGAGGTTTAGTTTAGTTGATCTGTGAGGTTTAGTTGATCTGTGAGGTTTAGTTGATCTGAGGTTTAGTTTAGTTGATCTGTGAGGTTTAGTTGATCTGTGAGGTTTAGTTTAGTTGATCTGTGAGGTTTAGTTGATCTGTGAGGTTTAGTTGATCTGTGAGGTTTAGTTTAGTTGATCTGTGAGGTTTAGTTGATCTGTGAGGTTTAGTTGATCTGTGAGGTTTAGTTTAGTTGATCTGTGAGGTTTAGTTTAGTTTATCTGTGAGGTTTAGTTGATCTGTGAGGTTTAGTTTAGTTGATCTGTGAGGTTTAGTTGATCTGTGAGGTTTAGTTTAGTTGATCTGTGAGGTTTAGTTGATATGTGAGGTTTAGTTTAGTTGATCTGAGGTTTAGTTTAGTTGATCTGTGAGGTTTAGTTGATTTGTGAGGTTTAGTTGATCTGTGAGGTTTAGTTTAGTTGATCTGAGGTTTAGTTGATCTGAAGTTTAGTTGATCTGTGAGGTTTAGTTGATCTGAGGTTTAGTTGATCTGAGGTTTAGTTGATCTGTGAGGTTTAGTTGATCTGAGGTTTAGTTGATCTGTGAGGTTTAGTTGATCTGTGAGGTTTAGTTGATCTGAGGTTTAGTTGATCTGTGAGGTTTAGTTGATCTGTGAGGTTTAGTTGATCTGTGAGGTTTAGTTGATCTAAGGTTTAGTTGATCTGTGAGGTTTAGTGGATCTGTGAGGTTTAGTTGATCTGTGAGGTTTAGTTGATCTGTGAGGTTTAGTTGATCTGAGGTTTAGTTGATCTGTGAGGTTTAGTTGATCTGAGGTTTAGTCGATCTGTGAGGTTTAGTTGATCTGTGAGGTTTAGTTGATCTGTGAGGTTTAGTTGATCTGTGAGGTTTAGTTGATCTGTGAGGTTTAGTTGATCTGTGAGGTTTAGTTGATCTGAGGTTTAGTTGATCTGTGAGGTTTAGTTGATCTGTGAGGTTTAGTTGATCTGAGGTTTAGTTGATCTGTGAGGTTTAGTTGATCTATGAGGTTTAGTTTAGTTGATCTGAGGTTTAGTTTAGTTGATCTATGAGGTTTAGTTTAGTTGATCTGTGAGGTTTAGTTGATCTGTGAGGTTTAGTTGATCTGAGGTTTAGTTGATCTGTGAGGTTTAGTTGATCTATGAGGTTTAGTTTAGTTGATCTGAGGTTTAGTTTAGTTGATCTATGAGGTTTAGTTTAGTTGATCTGTGAGGTTTAGTTGATCTGAGGTTTAGTTGATCTGAGGTTTAGTTGATCTGTGAGGTTTAGTTGATCTGTGAGGTTTAGTTTAGTTGATCTGTGATGTTTAGTTTAGTTGATCTGTGAGGTTTAGTTTAGTTTATCTGTGAGGTTTAGTTGATCTGTGAGGTTTAGTTGATCTGTGAGGTTTAGTTTAGTTGATCTGTGAGGTTTAGTTGATCTGTGAGGTTTAGTTGATCTGTGAGGTTTAGTTGATCTGTGAGGTTTAGTTTAGTTGATCTGTGAGGTTTAGTTGATCTGTGAGGTTTAGTTTAGTTGATCTGTGAGGTTTAGTTGATATGTGAGGTTTAGTTTAGTTGATCTGAGGTTTAGTTTAGTTGATCTGTGAGGTTTAGTTGATTTGTGAGGTTTAGTTGATCTGTGAGGTTTAGTTTAGTTGATCTGAGGTTTAGTTGATCTGAGGTTTAGTTGATCTGTGAGGTTTAGTTGATCTGAGGTTTAGTTGATCTGAGGTTTAGTTGATCTGTGAGGTTTAGTTGATCTGTGAGGTTTAGTTGATCTGTGAGGTTTAGTTGATCTGTGAGGTTTAGTTGATCTGAGGTTTAGTTGATCTGTGAGGTTTAGTTGATCTGTGAGATTTAGTTTAGTTGATCTGTGAGGTTTAGTTTAGTTGATCTGTGAGGTTTAGTTGATCTGTGAGGTTTAGTTGATCTGAGGTTTAGTTGATCTGTGAGGTTTAGTTGATCTGAGGTTTAGTTGATCTGTGAGGTTTAGTTGATCTGAGGTTTAGTTGATCTGTGAGGTTTAGTTGATCTGAGGTTTAGTTGATCTGTGAGGTTTAGTTGATCTGAGGTTTAGTTGATCTGTGAGGTTTAGTTGATCTGTGAGGTTTAGTTGATCTGTGAGGTTTAGTTGATCTGAGGTTTAGTTGATCTGTGAGGTTTAGTTGATCTGTGAGGTTTAGTTGATCTGAGGTTTAGTTGATCTGTGAGGTTTAGTTGATCTATGAGGTTTAGTTTAGTTGATCTGAGGTTTAGTTTAGTTGATCTGTGAGGTTTAGTTGATATGTGAGGTTTAGTTTAGTTGATCTGAGGTTTAGTTTAGTTGATCTGTGAGGTTTAGTTGATTTGTGAGGTTTAGTTGATCTGTGAGGTTTAGTTTAGTTGATCTGAGGTTTAGTTGATCTGAAGTTTAGTTGATCTGTGAGGTTTAGTTGATCTGTGAGGTTTAGTTGATCTGAGGTTTAGTTGATCTGTGAGGTTTAGTTGATCTGTGAGGTTTAGTTGATCTGAGGTTTAGTTGATCTGTGAGGTTTAGTTGATCTATGAGGTTTAGTTTAGTTGATCTGAGGTTTAGTTTAGTTGATCTATGAGGTTTAGTTTAGTTGATCTGTGAGGTTTAGTTGATCTGTGAGGTTTAGTTGATCTGAGGTTTAGTTGATCTGAGGTTTAGTTGATCTGTGAGGTTTAGTTGATCTGAGGTTTAGTTGATCTGTGAGGTTTAGTTGATCTGTGAGGTTTAGTTGATCTGAGGTTTAGTTGATCTGTGAGGTTTAGTTGATCAATGAGGTTTAGTTTAGTTGATCTGAGGTTTAGTTTAGTTGATCTATGAGGTTTAGTTTAGTTGATCTGTGAGGTTTAGTTGATCTGTGAGGTTTAGTTGATCTGAGGTTTAGTTGATCTGTGAGGTTTAGTTGATCTATGAGGTTTAGTTGATCTGAGGTTTAGTTTAGTTGATTTATGAGGTTTAGTTTAGTTGATCTGTGAGGTTTAGTTGATCTGAGGTTTAGTTGATCTGAGGTTTAGTTGATCTGTGAGGTTTAGTTGATCTGTGAGGTTTAGTTTAGTTGATCTGAGGTTTAGTTTAGTTGATCTATGAGGTTTAGTTTAGTTGATCTGTGAGGTTTAGTTGATCTGAGGTTTAGTTTATCTGTGAGGTTTAGTTGATCTGAGGTTTAGATTAGTTGATCTGTGAGGTTTAGTTGATCTGAGGTTTAGATTAGTTGATCTGTGAGGTTTAGTTTAGTTGATCTATGAGGTTTAGTTTAGTTGATCTGTGAGGTTTAGTTGATCTGTGAGGTTTAGTTTAGTTGATCTGTGAGGTTTAGTTGATCTGTGAGGTTTAGTTGATCTGTGAGGTTTAGTTTAGTTGATCTGTGAGGTTTAGTTTA